AATACTAGAATTTGATTTAGACTAACTTCGAGAATAGTTTCATTTTTCTCTTGTTTCTTACGAATTTCAATTAATTTAAGAATTGATCTTAATCTATTGGTAAAAATTGTACGAATCCCAGTAAAGTGTTAATTTCTAATAGACACTAAAAGTGAGTGCATCTAATTTACAATGTATAGTATTTTCAAATATTTCACTTTTAAAACATATACATGGAAAGTTTAATATTGGACATTTACAATAGTTCTATCAAAATCTCGATCATCGTTCATATGTTGAATCGTTTTAACTGTTGCTTATGAAAGATCGTTCTACATTTCCTAGACACACATTACTCGTTCTGAACCAACGTAGCTTGAAATGTACGAAATTAATAAGCTTACTACTTATACGTACAGATATAAGACGATTTCTACCAAAAATGAACTTTTACATACATATGTTTTACACTAAATAGTACACATCAACCATTCACCTCTGAAAATAACACAAGGCAGACCTACATCATTCTCATTCTTAAGCATTCAAGGGAAGAACCATTATCATCATTAAAAAATCGACATTCAATCAAGGTATATAATATGATCGTCGACGTTCACTAGCCAGCAAGTTCCTCAAGATCAGGAATTACAATCTATCCACCATGGAAATGTTATTTCTGAAATGGTGATGATGGTGTGGCAAAGGTAACACAGTAAACGTGCGTGATTGGCGCAACTGTGAGAGAAATTATATAGATGAATGAGCAAAACGAGGAAAGTAATAGTGGAACAATAAGTTGAAATGAAATGATGCTTACCCGATTGAAACGTTTCGCCTGAAATATATGACCATTCACTCGGTACAGCTTCCTCCATCTACGTGCGCCGCGTCTGTAGATGCTTCCTTTGGAAAATGAAAAAACATAAATATCACGAGGCAACAGAGAATCGATCTTCAAAGTCTTGACATTTTCTTTTTTTTTTTTTCAGTTTCTCTTTCTTTTTTTCTTACATATTTCGGAATACATTAAATTTAATATTAAATCGGGGAAAGAAACGATATCATCGTGTCACGTGTTGAATTTATCGTAGAAATTTGCATGCCTTCAAGAACGCTAGTTCCGTATTAATTACGACAACAAAAGATGTGTCTCGTTTAAAATATAAAATATGAGAGTATATTCCCGTTGGAATACCGCACTGAAAGATCTGCAGTAAAACTGCAATCGGCCTAAGTCCCTCCATACTTCGGGCCGTCAAAACTATGGAATAATCTTGACAAGGTCGGAACAATAATGCTGGAGAATTTATAAACACGATAAGAACACGTCGATCGCCAAGAACCCGCGGTGTTCAAATCCTAATCGAACGTGATTCGATGTTTCTCTTCAATCTTCTCGTTTCATTGTTATTATATATTACACCTGATCCTTGATTTACACGGTATTTAAATATATAATAAGTATAATATAATAGATAATTTGATATAATAGATTTAACAAGCTCTTACACGACAGAATTTCGATTCTTATTATTATTAGATCAAACCATAAAGTAGGTGAAAGAAGGTGAAATAAAGCATTTTATTTATATTACTATTAATCACCAGTATACGTTGTTTACTTTCAACAATGGTTGTTTCATTTGTCCATTAATTTTTGTATCTCCTATTTAATAAATGTTCCTGTTTGACTGTTGATTTTTTAGAATACTCGCGTTGTCACTTATAAGCTGATTCTGAAGTAGTGTTTTTAAATACAGTATTATCGATCAAATTTGCGTTTACATTACCTCCTATAAGATAACATAAAATGTATAATTTCTATGTTAACAAATGGAAAAAGTATCGAATCAAATTTTATTTTCATATGAAGTATCAATCAAACGCTTCACACACATTTTCACGAAGACTGAGTTTAATTAATCGAGATTAACTTTAAAATTCGTAGTGTACAATTCTTGACATTCATCCTTTTTTATATGTATTTAAAAAACGTATTAAAAAATATCCTAATTTGTGCGATCGAAGTTTTCATTGTAACATTATTTATTTACAATGAAGTTAAAAAAAAAAAAGAAAAACAATTTTGGAACGACATTCCTCATATTTTACATAAATTTCAGACAAACGGTGAATTTTATCGAAGGTAACCCATCAGCCGTGTATATTAAAGATCAAATGAATATACGTTTATGTAAATGATGAAAATAAAAATAAGCGCATTAAGATCGCCGATGTTCCATGAGAACGAAAACAAATCTGCCTGATTCTAAATGCAGCAATATAATATTTGAAAGGAAGAAGCGTCGATAAAAGAAAAGAAAAACGATTTCCTCTCTGTTCAAACGTGAATCGATTATAGCCAGGCTACTCGTACCCTCTGTGTCACAGAAACTTAAACTTATCGTTAATCGAACAACTCGCTGGCTAGTATTATACAATTCGAAGTTGAAAAGTGCTGAATTGTGGAAAGGCTGTGTATATGTTAGAAATTTGATTATTTGGCGACGAACACTCACTGTCTTCTCCCTGACAGGGCATCCCTGGTGCAGGCGGCACGTTAGGAAAAACTGGAACAAAAACGAGCAATGTTTAATTTTCATATTATTGTTTAATTTCTGTTTTAAACATTAAAACAAAGACGTAAAAACGATCTCGAATCGAAACATTAAGTATGACACTAAAGAACGGTTTGCTTTTTTCTCTTTTCTTTTTAAATAAAAACATTAATTTTATCTAGATGTTTAACCTGTACGCTATAAATAAACAAATATGATAAATCAAGCATAACCAACTTGGTAAATATAATGTAATACAGGTTGCTGATTGTACACAGAGTGTCTAATTTATTGTAGTGCACTCTGAACGATCAGCAATTTGGCTGTAAAGCACGAAAAAGATATCTCATGAATATTCAGTCATGCAAACGAGGCGTCGCTATGGTAATTAGTTCGGGGAACCACTCGTTTTAATAACTAATTCGTTATTTTTTAATTAATGCGCTTGCGTTGCATACACTTACAATGGCTAACGTAACTTTCTTTGTCACTTTTGTGTCATCTACAAGAAGAAGGATTTCTATTTTAGTTGAAGAGAAACATTTTCTTCTAGGGACTACTTAAAACAGCATTACACATTCAAGAATAGAACAAACAGTTAAAACTACTAATTGTTTAATCTTTTAAAACTATAAATCACATACTAGAAAATCGAAAATAAAATTTAATATCAATTAATGCTTTGTCGTAAACTATAGTGAACATCCTGAACAGTTTTAATCACAAGAATCACAATGGAGAAACAAGAATGAAATGGAAGTCTTTTTATAACTGAACGTTTACCGATAGATTAGTAAGATTAAAACGTGTATGAATATCAAGCATGTTGCTCTATCTAATTCGTATTATCGCAACCGCTAATATTTCGTTATAAATGGGACAAACATAAATATGCAAACATCAAACGTATAAAACGTAAATACTAGATTACCCCCGTTACTGTATCACATTCTTACATTTAATCTGAATATTCGTAATTATACCAAAATAAAGAAAATAGTTCTTAAAGGTGCGTACAAAATTTTCAAATTTCAAATCAAACACGTATCTCAGAAAAGTTTTACGCTAGGTATATTTAAATATTCCTATCATATTATAATGTACTTAATATTCCCCCTATTGATCTAATTTATTTCATCTGCTGTAATCGCCGTTGCTCTCTATAGCAAGTTTTTTAATCAGCTTTCCATCAAGGCCGCATTTATACTTCTGGAGATCCTAGGTGCAACAACATTACGAGGCCTCGAAAGAACAAGTCTACTTCAGTTAATCAAATTCATACACATTTTTCTTTAAGTTCACTAAAAATAAAAGTCGACATTTCCATAATAACTCATTTTAATAAAATAAAAATAAATCAGTTCAAATTAAAATTTTAAAATAAGTATTTTATTTTGCAACTATAACTAGGCTGTTCTTTATACCGTTGCTTGTGAGGAATAAGGTATTAAAATGTGGCCCCATAGAGAGTGAGGCTCCACTTTGCGCCCCAATGCGCCTTAAGGTAAATGTGGCCGTTATCCACTGTACGTCCGATGTAAATTTTGAATTCCATCTCCATTCGTAGTACCGAATCATATTCTTCATCGGCCGATAATATGAGAAATATAAACAAATAAAATTGATATCACAAGGAGAGCGTATCTCTTAAAACTACCCCTGCTACTTCACACTATATTATTCATCCTTGCGCGACAGCGCATAAAATTTTACTTGGCACGTAACAAGCCTCGTATAATTAACATTTTTTATCCGCTCGAAATTTTTCGTAACATTTGCATAAATGTATTTTTCTCAGAGAAAGGAAACATTCAAAAGCTGGTTACGCCCGGCAAAACGCAAAACACCCGTCGTACTTGAATCCCTTACAGTCCTCGTTCGTTCCATTTCTTTCAGTTTTAATACATAAAACTTAAACTTGTATATCACGGAGCGTACGATAATGAATGCGAGACAAGAAGAGAGGAAATCTGCGAACAATGACGAAAAATAAGAAAATAGGGCACAGTAGATATATGAAGGTTGGGAAAATATTACAAAACCGAGTCCATTTCTTGGCAATAACATCGAAATCGATAAACTGACGTATTATTTTACGTATACGTACAAACACGCTGCTGCATTTCATAAAATGACCCTCAAACTTTGAAATTTTACACATTAACAGCGAGTTTTGCATGAAAATAAAAATATAATATAAAAAATTACAATGTCTGTTTCTATTCTATTTCAATGTGCAAAAAATATATGTAGCAATTTCATAACAATATTAGAATTACGAAACGCAGTATACACATAAATATGCATACTATTTCTCAAAACGTTTCGTCCAGTTTTAGTACTGTATTGCACTAATTATAACGATGACAAAATGTCTCATAAACATATATAGGTCTGCAGACGCTTTGTTACGAAGTTGCACTCTTTCAGACTTGCTCTAAGTATCTAGCCCCCTCCAACAAAGCAGGACTCTACTACTTCTTGCTCCTTCTTGCATGACATTTCGTCATATTTCGTTACAATTCGCACAATACATTTTTCAAACTGAGCAAGACATTTTGGAAACACTCTGTATAAGCTAGCTGTAAAAATATCACGCAATTTTATTAACCCTCCGTAGGTAACTTTATTTTTTCGCACTACAAGTTTAATTTTTTTCCTGCCCTAAGTTTCGAAAAAATCTGTAAAAATTCTTCGATACTTATCAAAATCTCTGCTATATTGTATAATTGTTCGTTAAGTGAAATGTTTAAAACTTTTTTCAGAAAAAAGTAAAAATTCGTTCCAAAGAATTTCAAGAGTGAAATTTCACTTGGGTCATCAACGACCCAGATTGCCTACGAAGAGTTAAAACACGAGAATCACCAAATACTAGCCTAGAATTTCTGATAGAAATTACTCGAATTCGTGACTATGATTTGTCAGTGAAAAAGAAAAACGAATAAAAGACTCTTCCTCTACCTTTGGTAGAACGAAATATACAGTGGGTGACGAAATTATGATCAGAGGAGAAAATTACATATTACATGTTTTCGGTGGTGTTATGACTTCAATACCAGTTTTTGTTCTGAACGCGTAGATGGACAATTTGACTATATTTTGACAGCTTACCTAGCTAAAAAGAAAATCCAAGCTGTATCGTGGTCTAACAACTCATCTATGAGAATTATTAAAACGTCGAATTGCTAATTAGTAAACAGCAACTGATTAAGATAGAAAAGGTAGAAAAAATATTAAAAGTATGCCGAGACGATATTCAAGCAATTATAGACACGAACATGACGAAAAATTGATATACATATGCATATGTTTAAAAATATTTTAACTAATTTGTAGAAGTTTAAAAATCCTTGTTATATATTAATAAAAAAACATAACAGTACTTCTTATAATAGAAAAAGGTTTTCCTCTTTTAAATGTATTTTCAATTCTATTCTTGTTCAAACTTCAAATAATTGCTGCACAATTTCAAAGTGATCATAATTATTTGATCGCTCACTGTACGTTTCAATGTTGGTGCGTTCAGGGTCGCATTTACCAAAAGGCGCATTAGGCGCAAACTGGGACCTCACTCTCTATGGAGTCACATTTCAAAACCTTCCTCCTTACAAACAACATAAAAAACTTATTTTTAAATGCCGACTTTTATTTTCAATAAGCTTAAAAAGAAAAATAGTGTATGAATTTGATTAACTGAAATAGACTTGTTTTTTTTTTTTTAGGCCTCGTAATGAAGGTGCGCCTAGGGCCTCCAGAAGTATAAACACGGCCCTGGATGCATTCCAGTATTAAAAGTCGCTAATTAAATGTTAGACCAATTAAACGAAACGTTGAAACGCAACTCAGACCATTAAAACTGACTAAATATCGTGCATAATATGTGTGTAAATAAATACAAGTACTAACTTAGGTCATGCATTATGTATAACATCGTCATAACGTTATATCTGTATCTGTCTGTTCGACGTCTCTCTTCAACGCGCAGCATGGACAGTTAGGTTTCGATGGTAAGGAAGGTTGCCCCGTACGCAACGTGTTTCGGTACTCACGTCTTTACCAATTCGTGTACAGAGAGATAACTATCTACGGTATATATTTCGAAAGCCAGGTCTTCGCCTGCCGCGAAGTTATATCCTGTACTGTTACATTTATTCTGTAACCTGATCATAAAACCACGGCCCGATAACGGATAACATTGAATTCAATTGATGCGATCGTTGTTATCGCTTTTATCGGCCTGGGTTCGGTTAGACACTGTGAGTACTAGGCTGCAACGTTGTTTTCAATGTCCGCTTTTAACCATTTCGCTCGCGAACGCTTATATAATCGATCGTTCAGAACTATCGGCCCCCTTTCCGACCAATTAAATGAATTCTTACACGCTGTCCCAGTTCCCGTGCCGAAATATTTTTCTCGCCGACCAGTCAACGCCGTTTTGCGAGCTATTCACAAGAACTGCTTCGAAATTTTTGTTCGAACGGGTGAATGTGTGTTTCGTTCAATGTTCGACTGTGAACAGTCGATTGTTAAAGTAATGTTTTGGGGTTCATAGTTTAGACAAGTTTGACTTACAATTAGTTGAACTGTTTGCATTACGATATCGTTGAATTTGTTTAAATAGGTTAAGTATCTTAAGAAGGAATCCGATCATACGAAAAATTGGTATATAACCTCGAATTGATTTATATAAATGGTTTACGTGAATATTCTGAATACAACATACATACGTGATTAACGATTGGCTTAAAAAGGAATCTGCTTTATTTCCATATATAGCATTACTCTTTTTGTTTGAAAAATATTGGAACGAGTTCAAGTCGTCCAGCTATTCATTATAGACGATTGTAAAACTTAAAATGCTTGAATATTTTGTTCGGTTCAAAATACAAGTAGTAAACACGGAAAATTAATCGTTGATAACATGTAAAATCAAAATAATAATCTCGAACGAAATTCATAGCTGATTATTAAGTTGCATAATTTTTGAAAAGTTTATTTCTACAAATCGCATAAACTATACACAGGCCAAAAATAAAAAGTCAAGTGAAAACAAGTAATTACAAAATTTTTACAGTCGTGTATCTTGGCCGTTCGGTGAAATATTAGTAAAATGATTGTACATAGTTCATGAATTAATCAAGAAAATCATATTTATTAGTATTATATACATTCTTTTCTTTGCAATTTTTATTCCTTGAAAAATCCAAAGCCGTATAAGCGGTGAACGCGACTTTAAACAACGGAGGAAAAGATTCTCCAATTTATCTTCAACTATGTGCTTTTTTACAATTAAATTTCCTACATTAAGGAACGTTGCTTTCGTTCCAACATTGTTATCATTTGGTAATCATGTTTTCTTCCCATTTCTATGAAAATGTGTTTCGTTCGAAAATTGAAATTGATTGATGTATCAATTAACACATCGATTTTCAAATTAATGAAATAAAATTACATAACATTTCGAATAAATAAATGTTGTAGCACATAAGGTGAACACCATTTTCATTTACACGAAGCATTCTCTCTACTTTTAAGAAAGATTTCGAAAAGTCTCTTAAATTTGTACGATGAGGAGTAACAGCAAGAAAAACTGAGGACAAACAAACTACAAAAGTCATATGACTTTAAAAGATAAAAATACTTCATTCGTGCTCGTAGATATAATTCTAAAGTCATCCTTGTTTTCTTAAATAGGCTTCTTCATTATTTTACTCTTAATACACCCCCCCAACATCCCGTAGAACTGTATAATAAAGCTATACGTACACTACGTCTGTCTTATTTACCCAACAACTTTTTTACCCTACCATATAGATACGTCCAAAAATATAATAATGTTAAAATGAAAGAAGTATAATATCAAAAATTTGGCAGTAGTTAATGGCGCGGTCAATATTTTCAAAACATTCTCGAATTTCTGTCTACTCGTTTCTAACAAAGAACTTCGATTTTATATAACATTTAAGTATAAAAATAGTATAGACAACAGTTCATCTAAAAAAAAATATTGTAAAAACGTAAAATATTCAAAAACAAGCATAAAGTGTTTTAAAAATTCTCGTTTTTGATAGAGTTTAGTTCACTTAATAGTGAAATAAAGATAACTTAATAATACTTTTTTTAATCGTATGTTAATAGGACACAAAAAATAACATAAATGATTTATAAATGATATTAATAACATCAATAAATATATATTATGCTTCTAGCAGCATTATTAACAAAATAACGATATTATCGTCAACATAATGGACAGAACAATATTTGTTCGAAATAATTATCTGGTAAATTTCCTAATAAAACGTAAACCATTTTTAATTTCCTTTCGGCATTTTACATTAATTAAATTTGCGTATCATTTTTCTCAATAAACGATAACTTTGACATTAAATTTTTAAAATGATATTACTATTTATTATTCATAAATTCTCTATTTAAATTTATAGTTGTTCAAAATGAACGTCAGGGTGACGTCATAGTGTTATAATACAGATATATTTCAGTACTACACCTATTTTCAGGTACTCCGGTATATACTTCAAGAAATTTACAAAAGTGCTAATATTTATTTTGGCACACGAAAAAATATCCATTGGATTTACTAGTATAACATATTTAAATTATTAAGAAACTTCTATCACTGCAGCAGGTAAGACCGTATGTGTTAATTATCAGGAATTAACGCAATTATGTTGAGTTAATTGCTCAACCCCTTAGCAATGGCTATAATCGAACGAGAGCAAACAAAAGATCTTTATTTCCAGCATATGATGGTCTATATTACCGTCCTTATGTGATTGTACCACAAATGCATTCACTATTTCGTAAACAACTGTGTAAAAAGAGATCAAGCACTTTGGTCTTGAAACAATAAGAAAAAGTTGGTGAACTTTAATTATAGACTAAATAATTATAAAAAATACTATAGATTGCAGAAACTGAGATTCCTAGAAATACTATACATTAACACTATAACGTTGTAGACTATAATTAGTTTAATCGTGCATTAAATTTACAACAAACTTGCAATAAAAAAAGCTCACAAAATATTTCCTTTTCTAAAGAAAATATTAACCAAGCTTATAATAATCATCTAATTCACTAAAAGTTTTGAGAATCATTAAAAACATTAATGATCAGAGTTACAGTTTGTTTTCCGACTTTTTTCTCCCTAATTAAATCTTTGCTTCTCTTAAATTACTATTACCAACAAAACAAGAAATACAATAATTTTTCATTAGGTATAAAATATCGTTCGTAAAAAATATCAAAAAAAAAAAAGTTAGAAGAAACTTTAACGGACAGATGAAATTTCGAATGCGATAGCAGATTATTTAAACTTCTCAAAACTGAACAGTACCAAACGAACACAACGCCGACAGATACCTTAGAAACCATCGAATATACTATAGGAATAAGCAAGGAGACACAGTGACAGATTAGATAAGCGCACATGTTAACACACGGCTGTATCAAAAGCTCACACGATTCTTCACAATCGATATTCAAGCAATTCCATCGGACCACTCGAATCGACGGGTTAAATCAAAATTATGCTCGTTTGATAACAATAAAAACCAGAGCACAACTAAATCGATAACTATACATCATAAGTAAGGTACGTGCAATGTCAAACAAGAAAGAAAATCCATAAACGACAAAAAAAATAAGAAGAAAGAAAATAATAACTGCAGGTAGTAAAAACATAAGCGTTCCCTAAATATCGTGCTTCGATGCAATGAAATTGGCGAAATTCTGTCGGCTTTAACGAGGCCATGAACCAGGAGGTGTCAGGACCTACCCCAGGTAATATCGTTGAACCAAAATTGCGAAGATCCAGTGGTGTCATCGATTAGAGACTGGATAGGGGCTGCAGAATCCGGCGGTGGATTACACGATCCATGTACACGACACGTACTAGTCCCTATAGCTCGATTAGCGGTCGCGTACATCATCTCCGTCGGAATTACTTCGTCGAGATCAACATCAGAGGTGTCATCGATACCTTTGTCGCATAGCAGTTTCATTCTGGAGGAAGAAGATCCAGGCTGGGCGAATATATCGTCACGGGGACTGTTATGGGGTGGTGAGCATTCTCCTCGCAAACTGACGATCGGTTGTTCGTATTCAGCTGAATCGCTGCTAGGCGACGGTGGATAAGTGCTGCTGCTCGATTTGATCGGCCTATCTCTCGGTAACACTTGTATACCGGTGGAAGAAGTGGATGGTCCTCCTTCAACGGTAGGAGGTATCCTACGCCCAACAGCAGTCGCAGTCGCAGCCGCAGCCGCAGCCGTGGAATAAGAATAGAAGGAACCACCCTGTATCATCATACTGCAGGGTGGTTCCTCTACTGCGGAACCAGGAATAGCACCGGGCCCTGTAGAAACGGCAGAGGAGGAGCTGACACCCGCGAGCTCACCTTGTACTTGCTGCACACCGTACATCCCCTGCATAGCTCCTGTGCTCGTTTCCGTCTGATGATACTGTTGCTGCTGATGCAAACTCTGATGCTGTTGTTTATCCTTTTCGCGACGGGGTGACCGACCCCGATCGCTGACTGACGTTGCGCTCCAATAACCCCAGGCCATTTTGTGAGCAATTTATCTGTATTTATTATCTCACCGTCTTCTATCCTGGTCGCCTAATATCGTCCACCAACAGTCGTACACCACTGGCTCCCGTCTTTTGCTCGCTATTACCCTCTAACTCCCACCCCAAGTTTTCCCTACTTTCCTTCCTACGGTATGTGCGCACGCTTTCCTCGCTCTGTCTCTCTCCGTCCGGTTAGCTTTCCCCAGACTATCCTTCTTGCTCTTCTCTACCCGCTCTCTGTCCTCGTCTTTTACCGTAGGCCCCGACCTCTTGCAGGAACCCGGCTGAGAATGCGACGAGTCAGCGCGATCGATGCTGGTTTATCGCCACTTTTGCAACCTCTTCAGTGACAACAGCGATTGTTAAAGGTATGCTGTCACAACCTCTCAACATGAATCGCGACCATTGAAATCGTCCGCCCTGAGACTCTCCTTCGAGTGCTGTTATCGTTCGCCAACGTTTCAACCTAATCAACGTACTACTCTACCCGCCTTCCTCTCTCTCTCTCTCTCTCTCTCTCTTTTTCCCCCTCTTTCTCTCTCTTTTCCGTCCTTGCCTCGTTCCGAGTTTCTCCTTTTCTTTGTTTCGCTCGTCTTTTTTTCTTCTACCACTCCCTCTCTTTATTTCGCTTTTCCTTTTCCTCGACGAGATCCCTTCAATTATCTTCTCACGTCTGAACGGGTCGTTGGGTGTACTTCCATGAGAAAGCTTCGTGGCTAATCGGTCCGCGTAAGAATATCGACTGCTGCCGCGGGATTCGTTAACTACCGCCGCCACCCGACGTGCTTTACTCTACGAAATGCGCAAACGCTAGAATAAAGGCACACTGAAAAACAGGTCTGATTTCTCTTTAACAAACTACCCGACCTTTTTCCCTTTTCCGTCCGTTTTCAGTGCCCCCCCCCATTCTAGCTCTTGCTCATCGCCCTCGATATTCGTTGCCATTACCATATTTCTTCGTCACCTTTTCTCTTCTTCTTTCTTTTCGCGCTTTTGTGGTTTTTCCTTCTCCACCACGTGTATTTTTCTGCGTTATCTGTCCACTCTCCTTTCTCTCGCATCTGCTCTATCACGTTTATCTTACTTTATATAGATAGTTTATGCTTCCGTGTTTCTTAGTATTTGCTTCTTTTTTTTTTCACTTTAAGAGATAATTAAGATTATTCATTATTGTCTTCCGTACGCATTTTGAACTCTTTTCTTTTTTGTTACTATGTTCGAAAGCAATACTCATAAATGAAACGCAGAAAAACACGCAAAAACGGTTAATTATTAAATAAATATGAACAGTCCTCCCGGAATAAAAATGCGTAGAGATACACGGATCTCGTATATTCCATAATTATACTTTTCGTTGATTGTACGGCGTTTATCATTGTCTTTAAATGTTTGTTGACTACAGTGAATAAAATGAATGAAAATATTTAACGATCATGGTGTTTAATCAAATTCATTAATAAGTTAAACGCCTAGTTTGCCATTTATATTACACTGCTATACGTAACAATATGCAACCGCTTAGAAAACACTTGAAAATATCGATTTGTTAACATATTACGAAGAAATTGAAATATTTTGTTAAAAAAAAGTGATACTTTGTAATGCTGATGTAATATTTTAATTAAACATATTAAATACTAAAATTTTAATTGCTATAAATTTTGATATATCACATCTGGATAACATGAATTTGGGATGTTGGAAACTAAACACGTACACC